GGCTGGGATAGAGTTAATTTTCTTCATAGTAGCTAGTGTGAGGCTGTGTTTTGGACTTGTGCTGAAAACAGTGTTGATAATTCAGGGACGTTTTCGTTATTGCTGAGCAGTGCTTACACAGAGTCAAGGCCGTTTCTGCTGCTCACCCCACCAGTGAGTAGGCTGGGGGGGCACAAGAAGTTGGGAGAGGACACAGCTGGGACAGCTGACCCCAACTGACTTAAGGGATATTCCACACCATAGGACATCATGCTCAGCAATAAAACTGGGGGAAAGAAGGAAGAAGAGGGAATGTTCAGGGTTACAGCGTTTGTCATCCCGAGTAACCGTTCCGTGTGATGGAGCCCTGCTTTCCTGGAGATGGCTGAACACCTGCCTGCCGAGGGGAAGGAGTGAAGGAATTCCTTGTTTTGCTTTGCTTGTGTGCACGGCTTTTGCTTTACCTATTAAACTGTCTTTATCTCAACCCACGAGTTTTCTCACTTTTACCTTTCCTATTGTCTCCCGCATCTCACTGCAGAAAAGTGAGCAGGTGGTTGTGTGGGGCTGAGCTACCCACCGGGGTTAAGCCACAACACTGATCCAATGTAAATTCCTGGAGTAAAGGGAAACTCTGTAATAAAATATGTTAAATAGTATAGCTAACACTGCCAAAATACAGTTTGTCTAAAGTTGGGATACTAGAGTTTTATTTTTAAATACAGAATTTGTATGCACACATGAAAATAAGGCCTGGAACAAAACCAAATCTATTCCCTAGAACTTAGTACTGGTTTTGTACTTGGTGCTGCACAATGTAAGATTCCACTACCATGCACATGTAATCTAAACTGAACAGAAAGAGAAAAGCAGACAAAGGCGAGGAAGCTAAGGGATATTTAAGTAGGTATATAACATGGTATGTGCCTCCAATATTTCCATGATGACTTTTTATATTTATACTGTAACCTGAAGGACTATGAGATGAAATATGAAAGTCTGTGTGGTCTGCAGTGACCTTCCCCTGACTGGGATGTCTCCAAATAGTTGTCCCTCCCAACACATCCTGCATGCCCCAGCTCAAGAAGGAACCCACAGTGCAAAGACAGACAGAGGCTGGAAAAGTAAAAAGTGCTGCCAATTTGATACAGATACATTCTGACTCATCATGGACTACCTAGAGACCAATGCTAATGTTCAGTAGGCTTGCATTTTTTCATACATACTTATCAAGCAAAAACAGGTATGCTGTTATCAAATACAGCTTATTCATAACTATAAAGACCATAAGGCTCTTCTATATAACATGTAAGTCTGTAATAAATAAATCTATAGGAAAAAAAGCCTCCCTCAGGACTGTGAATGGCAGGGATCTGTAAAAGTTCCATTCCACATGCAGTTCAATACCCTTGGTACGCCCTACCGGTATGCTGTGAGATCATCAGTGTGTGTAAGACACAGATCTTCGATCTTAACTTCCACAAGTGTATTTAACAAGGTGTGCACGTACATGTCAATTTTATTTATAGAAATATAAATACGTGTACATCTAGTATATGACATACATGCACAGTTTACACATATACAAATGTGCGTGTGTACAGTAAAATCTGCATATGTATTGCTGCACAAGACAAGGCAATGAAAAGAAAATTACCTTGTCCCTTCTCCGAAAGGTTCACAATCTACTAGCCCAGAGGAAGGTGGCTGAAGCATCCACAGAGAGAGAGTGCAGCCTGCAAGTCTGACAGCCTCTCAAGAGGAGCTGGCTATTCCCCTCCAAGGGGGCAGCCTTGGGAAACAACGAGAACTAGTGTGGAAACATAAACGTGAGGAACGGAAACTGCCTGCCTCACCACACGGCAGCAGAGGTGCAAAGCCAGGCGCAGAGTGGAGCACTGCTCCCCGGGGCGGGGGACGCTACGACCCGGGAGACGGCTCTCCCCGGGTACCGGGGCCGCTGCACCTTCCAGCCTGCATCCAGGGAGGTACGGGGAGGGCGGAGGCACCGCTCCCCTCCCCCCCGTCCCAACTCCTCCTGTCACAC